AGCATATTTATGCAATGTAATTAGTACTATATTTCTTAGGTGAGTCTTTTAACTTACGCCTTGTTTGGATGGTTGCTGCTTATTGTATCGTTATCAATATGATGTGATCGCGTCATGAATTTCTCCTCTCTTTTTTTTTAATTTTGTTTTTGTTTAATTATTATCTAATAATTATAAGTTTATCCCTATCATGATTGAACATGATATAGTCTATTCAAATGTTATATTCATTAAAATAAAACAGTATAATACAATACAACAGGAATGAGAATATTGGCTAATTCATTTGTATCTGAATTTTCTCATAGAATGAGCTGTTTATTGGAGTAAGGATACGGATTTAGTAAAACAAGAAACATTAAAAGTAGCAAGGTTGTCACATGAAAGGTATATATAACAATAATATTTTTTATTTGTACTAATGACATGAAACCTAAACATAGAAAAGAGAGTCTAGCTCCTGGATCTTTAAGAATTGACATTCACACGTGTTGTTTGGATAATGTATGATTAAAGTTGATCAAATTAGTGTTCTTTGACACGTAGGTTTGAGTCTAGCAAACCAATCACAGCTAGCACGATAAGTAAGCAAGTATGCATGGACAAAACCTTAATCTATATGTAAAAATAGCAATGACCCATGTGGTATGGACAAACTTCACGTGCTTGGGTGACTTTTTTGGAGAGTCCCTAGTAAAACAAATGGAAATCTTGGTGAGATTTTTGACAAAATTATGCTAGATTTCATGGAGGGTGAGAAGGTGAATGGAAGATAAAGTGAAAAGAGGTAGGGTGAAAGTGTTGAATGTGTAAATAAAATTCCATATTAAAGGTTTATAGAGGGGGGAGGAGATTATGAATAAGATGTACGATTTCTGTAAATAGTTAACATCTCTTGAAAAAGTGAAAGAACATACAAGTTTAGGGCAGAATCAAACAATGTCACACCATATTAATAGGAATCATTTTTTTAGATTGGTTTATATGTTAACCCAATGGGAGGTGTGGTAATCAGGGGAAGTAGCGGTTTGGTTACAGATTCAATCAAAATCAATATCAATTCTTTAGTTCAAATATTGTGGTTGTATTAAGAAATTTATTGAATTTGTACAATTATTAATTTAGAACTCAATAGTTTTAAAACATTAGAATATTGACAACATAAACTTCAAATCCTAGTCAAGCGAAACAGTAAAAGAGGTAAAAGTCAAGAAATAGTGATTTGGAAATATGTGCAGGATATTTATACCTATCAATGTCACAGGAAGGCTTGTCTAGAGAACTTTTTGATATCTTATGAGCTTCTAATTAGCGTAAACAATAATTTGTAAACGTCTCAATAATGTCATATTTACGTACCCTTCTTGCCATTTTGTCTAAAATCAAGTAACAAATGTCAGTAACGTGCCTATAAATTAGTTTTTCCTTTACCTAGTAGTAGTAACTACTTGTCATCCAGCACAATTGACCATTTTTGTAATAGATTAGATAAATCAAACCATCTGATGGGTCAATCCAAAGGGTAATTCGTGTAAGGTATAGGGAAGATTAATCCACATCTTGGTCAATCGAAAATGCAATTAGTGTGGCATAAAAGTGAAGATCGTTGAGTGTCTATCGAAAATCACGAAAAAGGATGGATATTTTGATCACCTTTAACTCTAGCTAGGGTCACAAATATGAATGTAAGAAAATAAGTTTGATGACAGTAGAGTATGTTTGATCACCTATCATGTGTTGATGTGAAGTCAAATTGTTTAGGTGGTAAAGGAATTTTAGAGGGTCCCGTTAGTGAGAGACATCCCCACGGGGTCATGGCCTGCAGGCCTATACCCTATCACTTTTAGGTTGCCTTTTATGTTATTTCTGTTTCAAAGCTATGTCTGCTTTTGTTTGGCCCATGAATCACTTTTCCTTTTTATGGTATTCTATAACTTATCCCCATATATAAGGACAAACAACAAAAATGTTCATATATATTTGACACTCACATTAATCCATCCTGTCATACACACATTTGCCACTAACGATAATGTACTATTCCCACACACCCCACCAATTATATTGAGCCGCCCTTCTGTTGTCTTATAATTTCAAGTCGTGGTATATTTTTTGCACACTATTTGAGTATACCCCTCCAACTTGATCATGTGCTTTTTGCATTAACAATAGTACCTTATATAAGCTTTCGAATTGGTCGAAACGGAAAATGACACACTACAAGAAAAGTGTGAATTATATGAGAATTTTCTTAGGGATTATGTATGAAAATTCGCAGGAAAATAAGTTTCCTACAGATTTTCAATAAAAATGAATCCGAAGGTAAAACCTTCGTAGGTAATTATTTCCTGCGAATTTCAAAATCTCCAACTAATTTACCTAGGAATTTAAATTTCGCAGGTAAATTACTTGCGAATTTTCTTGCAAAAAATAACAAAAAAAAATCAAATTTCTTACAAATTTATTCGCAAGTAATGCCATAGGAAGATATTCAAATAAACTTTAAACAATATTAAGTATTATCTCCTATTTATTTATTTTATTATTCATTGAACCCCCTAGACACATATGTACCTACCTATCCATATTTCTCACACAACTACCCACCCATTCAATTTCATTGCCCTCCTAATGTCAAGTCCCCATGAGATTCCATGCCTACTCATTTATAGTTGCTTCTTGAAATTCCATTCTATCAATATTTCAAGTCATAGCATTATAAATGCTAAATTTTTGGTGTCTTTTTCCGATGTGATACAAAAGATACAATGACACTACACTAATTTTTTGTGTCTTTCTCCAATTTGATTAATTTTTAAAGCAAAATTTTATCAACTTAATTGAGTATTTAAAATACCATTTAGATATTCATAAATTCTAAAAAGGTACTCTTAATTTGTCTCATATCAATATGGTAATATAATATATCTTAAATATTGGCTAAAGTTCATGTAATTTGACTCTTAAAAAGTGAAACATGACAATTATTTATATATTTAAAATAAACCACTAACAACCCAACATTCATGAAAATTTTATGCTTACACTTCCTATGAGATAATGTCCATTACTAAGCATATTAAACATAGACAAAATTTAAATTATACACACAGTTTTTATAAATAAATAATTGAAAATATAAATAAATATATAAGTTTAAAGTGCAAGAAAGTTATAATAAAGAATTGATAGTATATCTTATTAGGTATTTGTGGTATTTTTAATTTTAATTTATGTTTTAATAATTATATTTTAACATACTTAATTATATATTTCCAAATAAATATCATTTAATAACTTACTATATATATAGAAATTATGTCATTTTTAATGCTTATAAAATATATCAATTGGATATACAAGTAAAATTTATTTATTTTTCATTTAATATAATTTTATCAATGAAGGGTAATTAAACTTCACATTAATAATGTATATCATAGAATTTTTCTATACTTTAATATAATGCTTGACTTATTCAATCGTACACAATTTAATATAAATAATATTAAATCAAAACTAATTACATTTATGATAGTTATATTTCTATTAGATAAATAACAAGCCATATTATTTTATTGCTTTCTATCTTTTAAATTGAAAAAAAAAAAAACAAAAAAAACCGCATCATTAGTTTCTTGTGATAAGTTAAAAATATTGATAATGACATTTGTAGTAATGTTTCCACACTGTATTAGTTTGATATTATTGTATAATAATTATCTAATCTAAAAGTATAGTAGATATTTAAAAATAAAATTTATTCTAATGTCATTGTTATTTTTTATATTATTGTAATTTTTTATTTGGTTAAATATATTTAAAAGAAAATATTCCTCGAAGTTTTCAAATAAAACAAGTTCTTAGATTAAAAAAAAACTCTCACTTAAATTATATTTTAAAAAGTTCAAGTATGCATTCCTCAAAAAATCTCCAATCAAATTCACAATAATAAAATTCCCAAGTAATTTTACAAGTAAAAAAAATCCCAAGTAAATCCTCAAGAAATAAATTTCCAACAAAATTCGTTGAACATAAATTCCCAGGTAATACCACATATAAAATTATTTCTAAATAATTTTTTAAGTAATTATTTCTAGCTAGATTGGGAAATAAGTTTATTTAGGAATTTCTTTCAAACAAATTTTAAAATAGTTTTTTTTTCATTTCTTGCGAATTCACCTATGACAATGGTACTTGCAAATTGTTTGCCCCAAATAATTCCCCAGGTAATAATTTTATGAAAAGGGCGCCAAATTTACCTACCAATTTTTCGCAGGTAAAAAAGTCCAGAATTAAGAAATTTCATATTTTCTCAACAAAATTCGTAGGAAATTTCTACAAAAATAATCTCCAGGTAATTTACAGTTTTTTAGTAGTGATAAGCAAAGGACATTAAAATATATATATATGAAGCATGGGAACTTGAACTAATATAATGACCCTGTTTAGAGGTGAATTTATAGCCAGTTGATGTGCATGTTCAACTAAATTTACTACTTTCAGCTCGAACTATGTGTACAAAATTATTTTAAGAATATAAATTAAATTAAAAAGGGGATAACTCTAAATAATCCTGGATTCTTCTCCCTTCCCATCTCTATATAAAAGGGCAAGATGCTCATCTTCCTTTGGCTTAAGAGATTTGTGTATAAATTTTTCCATGCCCACTCTGGATACTAATAAACATCTCTTCCTCTGTAGCTAGCTAGATTAAAGAGTTGTCAAAAGTCTATCCTTCCATTAACATGAAAGTAAGTTGTCATTTTTTGCATATGATGATTATATTTGTTTAGATGTTAATGTTAGCCTCATGATAACAGATTTTTAGTTGGATTCAAACCAAGATTAATGGAAAACAAAGTACTTATAAGTCAAATCCAGTGGCGGTCAGGCGTAAGTATTCTTGATTTATATGTGCAGGGGAATACATTAATATTATACATCATCATATATACATGTTATCTGTTTTACTCGATCAAATGTCTTCTACTTGATAGATCATATGTTGCATCAATCATGCAAAGAAGAATTCAGTGACTGGCCTAATGAACTACTTGCTATTGGTACATTTGGAAGTTGGAAAAATGATGGTAATTTGAAACAACAAGCTGATCAAAGCCTTACAGTTGAAGAAGTTGGACAGCTTCACAAAGAACTAAAACATCTATTTCCTGATCATGAAGAAAGTAAGATAGGATCAAAAAAGGATCTTGACAAATTCTTTGACTGTCTTCAGAACTTGGTAGATGATGATCACAGAGTTATTGAAAATAATAAAGAGAACATTTTTGAACGGAGTAATAGTACTCTTGTTCATGTTAGTAGCCAAGAACAATCTTCCCAATTGGAGAACATTAGCAAGAAATCTTTGTCATATCTCCTAAAGAAGACATTGTTCTGCAGCGCGGGATTCACAGCCGCCCCTTTGAGAGATCCAGTACTTCCACAGTCCAAAATTCAGAAATCAAGGATGGAAAAGGTTTGCACTCTTACTCATGCATTTTCACATGCAATGAATTTTTAATCTTGATGAATTGAAGTAATACTTACATAAATTTAAATATCAGATTCTGAGGGCTATATTACACAAAAAGATATATCCTCAAGCAAGCAGTCCAAGGGGTACTACCACAAGAAAGAGATACATAGACAATATATGTATGATTGAGAGTGATAGTGATCAAGACGACGAAGCATTTGACAGTAGTACTGTGAAGAATGGGAGCAAATGGGATAAGTCAGATTCTGATTGTAAGTTTTCTTATACTCAAACCACTTCAATATGTGTCACCGTAACCATTTCATCTAAAAGTTTCGCTACATTCTTTTGCTGCAGTCATTGTACTAGAGATATGATTGGCTTCTTATAGCCAGTTCTTGAAAAGATGAGGTATGAACACCCTTAGCTTGAAAAAGTACTTTGAATCATATGTCATTATATATTCATCCAAGTGTCTCACTTTTTTTTTAAAATTTTTTGCAGATTGATTTCTGTTTCATTTGGATATGCAAAATTCAGATTCTTCTCAAGTTTTTTTTTTTTTTTTGGAAGAGTAGTCTTCCATCTGTTGGTGTTATATGATCATCAGAAGTACATATTTCACTTTATTTTTGCCATGACTTAGATAAGGATAACTGTTTTTGTCATGGTTGGAAAAGTTCATCTACTGAAGTTTCAATAAGAGGGGAAGATTTGTAATCTTAATTAGCCAAGTGAATGAGAAATTGGAATTAATGTTACTTTGATGCAATAGTCTTTCCTAGTTTTAGCTCCTTGTTTTTTCCATATCATCTATGGACGGAAAAAAATATTTACACACCTATATTTAAATCGAATCATATCAATTTGTCATAAATTAAAGTAAAATTATGTGTTAGTTAACTATATTTCAGTGATAAAATTTATGTATTCATTGAATTGATACAAATGAGTGCGATTAGATTGTTACCCTTGTGGACTATGGTTTGAGCTACCAACGGCCAACGCTCCCTAGAGATGTGTCTTGTATAATAGTTGTGTATGTTTAGTATCATCTCCGTCTCAATTTATATAAGTTAATTTGACTTGACACGGAGTTTAAGAAAGAAAAAAAAGGCTTTTGAAATTTGTGATCTAAAATAAGTCAGATTTATGTGGCTAGAAATCATTTTATTGGGGGTAAAATTTAAATTTTAAAGTTAAATTATTACTAAATATAGAAATGTGTCCTTTTTTTTAGGGACTAATTAAAAAAGAAAGTAAGTCATATAAATTGAGATAGATTGAGTATCATATATTCACAATTATAAGCCATAAGGTTAAAGTTTTTGCAAGAACGTAACATAGTCGTTTCCCAAAATAAAATAATCTAAAATCTATTTTGAGTGTTCGGTGTGTTATGAAATAATCTTCAAGAAAACAAATATATTCTGATATTTCATTATTTTCCAAAAAAAAAAAACTTTTTTTGTAAAATAAGTTTCTGAAAATTATGCAAACTCAATTATTGAAATCTTAAGCAGATGTTTCTTTTTTAATGGGGTGCGGGAGATGGCTAATCATTTACTTGAAACTAATTAACTTGTTCTTATTCACACTCGATATTTATAATAATTCAAAAAATTATATGAAAGTAAAGTTGAAAATGTATGTTACATTAAATTACAAATGCGTGCATGAAAAACATACATGTTGATGTTATCTTCATTATAAGTTCTAAATAATGTTGAGCTTATTGGCGGTTTGTCATCTATATAATAATAATAAAATGCAGCGACCAAAGTTTTGAGTCTATTCGTCCTATCTTATCGATGAAAATAAAATAGATAAGGTGTCCTAATAAGTAATAATAACGATGAGATTAATTGATTATAAAGCATGCAACTTATAATGGCAAATTAATTATGGACTTGACTGGTATAATTAGTGTGGGACAGAACAACGTCATGGATCTGTTGGGCATTATTGGGATGATATCCTTTCGTTTCATTTTATTTGACTTTTATATTAAAATAAATCATTTCATTATTTTTACTTGTTCATTTTAACAAATTAATAACTCTTTTGATATTACCCTTTAATCTTTATCATTAACTGATTATATAAAATGGTAAAAATTAAATTTTGACATTTCAACCGAAAAATCAGAGGAAATATTTCAAAAAAATTAGGTAGAAGGTAGATGGAAACTTCAATCAAATCGTCCACTAGCTATTTAGTAAATAATTTTGCATGGCTTTTAGCAACGCTGATCTCTCAAAGATTGACCACAAAACAAAAAATATCTTCCAAAGATTCTGCAGATTCTAAACTTTTGCAATAAATTAATGTGTGACGCATTTTTCTTTCCTTTTTTTTTTTTTATTTGTGCGCCATCATTTATATATATAAGTTTTTAAAATTTATTTTATATTACTATATATATATATATATATATATATTTTATTTTATTTTTATTATTTCTAATAAGTGAGAATATCTACTACTTAGCACATGACAAGTGTTGGATGATATGTGCTTAGATAGTGTTGTACATTCTTCTTTTATGGTTGTACCTTTAAAATTAACACCATTAATTACCTACCTCATTTGGGCCCATTTATATATATATTTATTATTTTTCTAATAAGTGGAATATCTACTACTTAGCACATGATAAGTGTTGGATGATATGTGCTTAGATAGTGTTGTACATTCTTCTTTTATGGTTGTACCTTTAAAATTTATATTATTTGACAATTTAACACCATTAATTACCTACCTCATTTGGGACCATTTATTTCAATATATGTTGTCTATCTTATTCTTTTTTTCAACCTTTTATTTTAAACTTCTTGAAATTTAATTACCTATTTATTACTCTCTCTTTACACTTTTAATTGTTATGATTTCCTTTTTAGAGTCAAACTATAAGAATTTTAACTAATATTTTACAATGTGTTTTTTCATCATATTCATATGCAAAAAATTACAATTTACAGTACTTTTTGTATAGATTTTGCATATTTAAATTTTTTGTTTAAAATATCAAATTAATACAATCTAATTTAACTTTGAAAATTATTATATTACTACTATTAATAAGAGTGAATGTGAGGAGCTTCCCGTTTATGGGAATTGACAAAAAAATCCTCAGATGTTACTTTTGTAATTTCACATGAAAAATGTAATTCAATTGGTTAGTTAAAGGAGTAGTGTAGCTCCATTTCATTTTTTGTATCTATTGGACTAATTTGTCACCTTAAAACTACAAATAATTCGCACAACTTTCTGAAAACATGGGCCCCACTTATTACTACTTAGTTGTATTGCTTTGGTGATTGATATCAACTATCCTCTCTCCAATAATATTTCTCCAGTATTGACTTTATACATTTTTTAAGAAATTATAAATAAAAGAGTAATATTACTATATCATTCTTTAAATATAATAAATATAATGTATTGAAAAATGACTATAATTAATGATAAGGGGTAAACTATCCATTGATTTCATAAAGTGAACAAGTATTGTAGGACATTCCAAAATAGTATAATAGACAATAATTATTGGACGAATAGAGTAGGATTAAGTCTTTCTTTCAGTACTTTTCTCATATTAATTAATTTCTCTTAGCATTCAATTAGTGACTCTTTAGTAGAATTAATTAGAATATTTTTTACTTAATATTACGCACAATAAGTAATAAGAGGAAGCTTTCGTTGGTCTGTTCTTTTAAGGGTATGTTGCTAAACCATCAACACTGAAAGGTAGTTCTGTTGATAATTGTGAAGAAAGCATATTAATGGATTAAAAATCAAAAAGAGGTAATTAAACCCTAAAATATTATAAAGACATCTATAAAATTTGGTTGAAGCTCAAAATCTATTAGTGTCATATAAATTAGGATAGAGGAAATAACATATATTATTTGAAATAACATGAAACGTACTACAAATCACACAATAATTAGCAACTTCAAAATTTAAAGGACATACAAAAAATTTGATCAACTCTCAAAATTTTACTAATGTCACATAGTTTGGGATAGAAAAAGTAACATATACGTAAAATATATTATAACTCATAATAATTAAATAACTTCAAAATCTAAAAGACATACAAAATTTGCTTGACTTTCGAAATTCTATCAATGACACATAAATTGGGACAAAGAGAATATTGAAAATTACATATAAAGTATTATTAACCACAATAATCAACAACTTAAAATTTAAAGAACAAACAAAAAAATTATTTGACCGTTAAAATTTTATTAATCACATAAATTAAAATAAAAAATATAAATATATGTTGGGCCCGTGCTAGCACGGGCTACTGTAACTAGTATATATATATTATAATTTATATATTTTTCTTTGACTTTCTCATAATTTTTTTAAGTTTATTATCATATTTGGAGTTACAAATTTTATCCCACCGTTGATTACTAAACAAAAGCCCAAATAAAAGATACATATATTGATGATTTGACAATTCAACTATTCTCTCTCTCACTTAACAAAAAACAATTCTTCATGTTCAATGTATTAGACTATGACTATGAGAGAACATCTTGAGCTTGTCTTTTTTAATTCAAGTTCAAGTCCTCATTTTCAACTCATCTTAATTTGGGTAAATAATAGCTATCAACTCTTTTTTTTTTTGTCTTGTTATTTGTCAACAAAACCACAAGAAAAAAAAAACAAAAAAAAAACCACAATATTGGATAGTTGAACCATAGATGTAGGCCAAAAAGAATTATATTTAATTACTTGATGCTCATAACTATAGCGTGTTAAGCTTAGTGGCCACATGATGGAGGTGATAATTTTTTTAGTGGATATCAAAGTTTACTTATTTTTCTCTTTAGTTATATTATTTTTGTGCGATGGAAAAGGGGTTAGTACACAACTCATTGCTTTTGGTTTCATTTATATGAGACATTTGCACTATAACTATTTAAGATATCAAATTTAGGAGTTTTGAAATTTCCAATAATATTTATTTTGTTATATATGTCAAAATAATAATAATTTTAATTTGATTTTTTTTAAAAAATAATTGAATAATTTTATATCAGAAAATCAATAATTGTTGTTATGTATGTGCAATAATTCTCTTTCCGGATGAAAACCACACCTTCTGAAACATTTGTGAAGGTTATTATCAACATTTCTCCAACTATGCTACGATATCTCAACAATGAGGTACAGTAATTCCACCTCTCTTAAAAAGCAAAAAAAGAACAATATCTTCTGTACATCCTAGCTCTGAAAATACGGATAGATAAACGACTCAAATTTGAGATCATTTCTTCAAATTTATTAGTTACTCTAAATTGAAATCTTTAAGCAATAACTTAGGTGCACCATCATAACTTGAGAGCTTCTTTATCCTTGTTGTC